CTGCTCAACACCAAAGCAGACATTACCACCTTCTTCAATCTTCACAAGCCCGAATAGGCATGGTATTTTTCTGAACGTGGTGAACGTGAAGTCTCAGGGCTAGGTGCTGCATCATAATAATGGTAGGACCCCCCCACACACAACCCACCGCCCCATCCGTCCAGTTCCCGGTTTTCTGCTTCGGTGACTCCTCTGTGACGCTGTGCACCTACTTGGTTCCTCTTTAGATCAGAAAGGCGAAACAGAGCCCTGGACGCTCCATTGACCATGGGTGGACATGGTTCACCTACTGAGGTCATACTTTCCTCACATACAAACTTGTGCTCCTCAGTCTCGTGCCAGAGGGTGGCTGTGGTGGGGAGCATGTGCCGCGGAGCATGTCATGTGAAGGTCAGGGAAGAACTTTAGTGGAGTCAGTTCTCTCCTTTTACATGAAATCTAGGGGTCAAACTCAGGTCTCCAGGACTGCACAGGTGTCTTCCCTCACAGGACCACCGACAGCACTGTGGGTCAAAAGTTCAGTGATAAGGCAAAAACAAAAGACAGGCTGGCAAGATGGCTCTATGTGCAAAGGCACCAGGTGCCAAGCCTGCTGACCTGAGCTTGAGCCCTAGTATCTCAAAGAAGCTACTCCTGCCAAGACGTCCTCAGACGCACCCACACACATGCACGCATGCACACAGACAAAGAAAAGGCCAAACTGCAGAGAACAGCAATCACGGGGCGCCCACCCCCAGCTGATCCATCTGCAGCACAAGTCCTGTACCTACGGCTCAGGGACCGTCTTCGAAAAGATGTGGCACAAAGACTGTAAGAGCCGGAGAACAGGAAGTCTGCTGCGAGATTGCTTTCTTAGAAATGTGAGGGAAGCTGCACCCACAAAGTCTCACCAACATGGCGGCCTAAGCAAGACCTGGACAAGAATGACACCAAAAGATACGATACCACAAAGGGAGGAAATCACACAGGCCCCAACCCTAAACAAAGAATGACAGGCAACCAAGGAACAGTGAGAATGGGGAAACAGTCTTCCCCAGGAGAGAGCCCAACTGGCTACCATCCAACACCAAATGGTCAGTCTTGAAATTTTATACATAAATGCACATAATATATCAACAATTAAAGAAAAAGAGGTCGGAGGCCATGAATTTGAAAAAGTGCAGGGAGCAGGGATAGATAGGAGGAGGAGGAAGAGGGAAAGAGGAAAGTGATGTAATATTTTTATTTCAGTTTCTTACTTTAAAAGATCTTTTAAATTGTTTTTAAAAACTAAAAACAAACAAAAATAGGGCTGGCAAGATGGCACAGGGTAAGGGTAAGATGGCACAAGATGGTAAGGGTGCTTGTTGCCAAGCATGACGACCCGATTTCCAACCTACATGGCAGAAGGAGAAAACTAAATCTGCAAGCTGTCTTCACACACATACATACTCTTAAACAATTTTTTCTAACATTTTAAAATTGTAAAGCCTTGTTGCTCTCACCCCTGTTAGACAGGCCGCAATAGGCCTCCTAGTGAGACTTCTCCTCCCACTGGCAAGCAAGGCCCTTGGCAAGACCCCATAAGGCTGGATATGCCACTGCGGGAGAAAAGCATCGTATTAGAGCTCTTAGTGGTTCTGCCAATCTCCATGAGAAATGGTGTATTTGTGGGGTGGTGAAGTACCATCGCTCCCATGCTCACTGCTCATTGGCTCATCCAAAGCCTAACCCAAATGCTTTGAGTCAGAAAGAAATTCTGCCATTCTAACATTGGCAAACCAAGGCTCCATTTCCCCATTGGGAAAAGTGAGACTACCATCCCTCCTGGGATTGCAGACCCTAGGTACTGAACACCGTGCCAGACATACAGCGGTTTGTTGGTTTGCTTACCCCTAGACAGCGAGGCTGGGTCTTATCTTTATAGCCCATGCCTGCTGAGCAGAGCCTAGGCGCCTAATTAATTATTACAGAATCTTAGAGACAGCCCTCTAAGGTTCAAAAGACAGTACATGAAAGAACACAGCTTCAATTCAACACTCGAGATCATACAAAGCACATTCCACAACACAGGGCTGTGCAAATTATGCAAAAAAAAAAAAAAAAAAAAAAAATTCTGTGTGAACTCAGACCTATAAATTCAGAATTAAGCAAGTAAAATATTTCTGTCTGGCCTGACATAGGAATTCGCATACTTTTTTCTTTCTTACCGAAGTCCTTATTCAAGGAGAAGGATCACACATACCCAAGAAATCTCATTTTTCTGTTATAGTCTTTTAAAAGTTAGTGGTAGTCCTACATTGGCTAGGTTTTGTCAGTTTGACAGTCTTGTGTCATTTGGGAAGAGAGAACCTCAATTCAGAAAATGCCTCCCCCCCACCCCCCAGATTAGTTGGTGGGCAAGCCTGGGGGAATTTTCTTAATTAATAATGGATGAGGGAAAGCCCAGCCCACTGTGGGTAGTGCTACCCAGGGAAAGTTGGTCCTGCTGTAGTAAAAAGCAGGGTGAGCAGGGAGCAAGCCAGCAAGCAGTATTCCTCCCTGGAATGGTGCTTTATCACAGCAATAGAAACCTTAAGGTAAGTTCCTAACGTCCTAGGGTACTCAAACATTAGCCTAGACTTCCAGCCCAGGGCCAGAACCACCGGGATCACACTGAGCCCAGGTGCTGGGAACCAGCTGATGCTGGTTTGCTGACTCTCCCAGAGCAGGGAACAGATCTCTGTAACTTTCCCCGAGTATTTTCCAATCATAACAAAAGCGCTTTGCAGCCCAAGACGACAGGATGTGATCAAAGAGCAAAGGTATAGGCTGCTTTGAGAGGAAACATGAGAGACATTTCCATGCGGTGGAGACAGGAAGTGTGTGGGCAGAAGGTGCAAAGGGCTGTGTTTCCACCACTGCAGAGCAAGGGACAATGTACAGTGGTTGTGGCAAATGGCTTGTGGCCCCACAGAAAGAGCACAGGAAATAAAAACAAACCACCCGTCGAGGTGCTGTGAGCTAGAAGCAGCAGGAAACAGCAGGACATCCCTCAGTCCACCCAGTGAGACTCAGCGCTCCTGCTTTGACCTGAGTCAGCAAAACAAAACCCTCAGAGTCAGGAGCCCTGCGGAGAACGAAGGCATTTTCCTAAACTGAGGACTAAACCACTGCTAATCTTCCTGTGCACGTGGAACTGAGAATTGTGGTACAAGCTAACAAGCCTACAGCAAACTAATAACCTACAGTGCATTCTCAAATTTGAACTCAGGACACCAAAAATCATCTAGAGTTTTCTACTGTTGTAAAGGAAATGGTAAGTAAATAGATAGATAAATAAATAAATGCACACCAAAGATGTTTCTGCCACCAAGGCTAGTTTGGGAAAATCACGAGCCTAGAGACAAAAGGAAATCTGACACTTGGGAACCCAGTACCTGTCCAGTATCCCTAAATCACTGTGAGATATGCAAACCTGCGTGACAATAAAGACTGTCATAATGTCTTTCTTCACAAAGTTATTACTTATTCTCAGCTGAATACTTTTCGTATTTGAAATACCTGTTTATAGAATCTAAACTAAAAACCATCCCGACTTCCTGGTGAAACTCGTTGATGTCTGTGCATGACTGTCAAGCACCTTGCCCACTTAGTCATCTTAGTGAATTTCTCCTGACAGTGCAAAGCCATGGCCCACAGAACCACTGGCAGCTTTTGTCACATATTAAAGCCAACTGTTCCTCAGAAGCTTGCTATCCCTGTGCAGAACCACTCTCAATCTTATCTAGTTAAGCAGAGACCCAATAAGAATGGAGACTCAAGCTTTGCTAAGCTCCTGAGGAACTGCAGGGTACACCCAAAGCTGAAAACCAAGGCTCCAGACTGCTGCACCTCAAACTTCTGTGTGCACAGCAATCACCTGGAACCTTGATAAAATGTAAAGCTTTGCTTCTATAGCTTGGGCGTTAGGCCTTGGAGTCTCCTTTTCAAAAAGCTCCTCAGTAGCCAGTACTAATTTCTAACTATCTACTGAAGAGCAAACCTCCTAGCTTGGCACCTTCAATCAGCTACAGCTATACCCCAAAGACTGACTTGATCCAGTGTGACCCAGGAAATGTAGCTATTGGCTCCCCAGGGTTCACTAGGACTTCTGGAGCACAGGTCATCTGATAATCAGCTACGGTGGAACCCAACAGGGATGTCCCCATATATGCAAACACACTACTCCCAAGATGAACCAGAGCTCACTTCAGCCAACAGACCTGGATTCCACAAAAGCCTTGTCCTTAATGTGATCGTCTGCTCTTTCTGGGTTTTCTAAGACCTGTGACCTTAAGCACAAATCTGAGCTTCATTTCTCCTACTTAATGAGAACTGGAACCCCTGAAGACAACTGCAAGATGAAACAGGAGACTTGTGAGGGAGCCTTGGAAAACACATGCATGATGCAAATCAACACACACACATGCACGGTCACACCACACAGTCACATGCCACAGACAAACATACACAGTTATACATCACACAGAGACATGGTCTTTCATGCACACATTCATAGTCACATAGACATACAACAGACACAGACGCCTGCCCACAGTCACAGAACACAGTCACACAATCAGTCTCTCTCTCTCTCACACACTCACACACACACACACACACACACACAGGGCACACGCACTCTGCACTGGCCTATACTGCCTAAGAGACAACACATCTCACTTCTTACCAGAAGCATGTCACAACAGTCATCCTACGAAAGCACACACAGTTCTGACAAGTGCTTGGTGGTGCAGTTCCGGACAATGAAGGATTAGCGAAGGATTACCTGATCAAGCAAAAGGACAAAGAGCTGCCATTTTCCAGGTTGTCAGCACTGTCTTTCGTCACTGACTTCAATGACAACTACTTAATGAGAATAAACGTGAGGGTTCAGAGTTGCCAGCTAGCAAGTCACGAAGCGCTCGTGAGCACAGAACCCAAGGGAAACAGATCTGCACACAAGTATGAAAAGAACAAACTGCAGTCGGAGGCGTGGATAGGAGTGGCAGAGAAACGGTTTTTAATTTGGAAAGTAAGGGTTACACTGAAGGGAAGGCAGACTGCCTGGGAAGTTGGTCAGACAGAGCAAAGGAGTTCCCTGGACTCCCCAACCTCATACCCAGCGAGCGGCACAGTTAAGCACAGATCGGAGAGTCAATGTTCAGCAAGCTGCCATCTCAAGAATTCTTATCCAGGGACGTCAAAGAGTGAACCTGAAAGAAAGAAGCAGAAAGGAGTATGGTCATGTCCCAGATCCTTCCAGGTAACTCTCAACCCATGAAACAGCTATAGCACGGCAATATTCCAGCCAAATAGGATAATCAGAAAAAGGCCAACTGTTTTCAAGAGTGTTTTATGAGAGTAGAATCTATGAAGACAATAGTCACACCTTAAAAAAAAAAAAAAAAAAAAAAAAAAAGTCTGCTGAGAAGCTGAAGAAACCGGCAACCAGCCCTATGATTACCAGTCCTGATTCTCCATCAGCCACTCCCCTTCCCGGCCCTCAGACTCCTCATAAAGCACTAGCGTCCAATCTGAGGACACTAGACCAAGACAGTGGATAATATGTCCCATAACTCACATACAGTCAAGGTCTTTAGAAGTAATCTAGTTTCTACCTAACGGAGTTACTTTGGGTAAGATGGAAATGGCTGCAGAAGGAGCTAAGTTGCTGCTGAGAGCTGGGTAGACTCTGATTCTAAAGCACTTGAACCTAAGGCATGAAGGCTAGTCCTTGTAGAGAAAAGGGCTTAGAAAGCAAGCATCTTTGGTGGTAGTTTTCAGAAAACCCTATTCCTAAAGATCAGTTTTTCTCTTCCATCGAAGACGTTCTTAGCGATCATTCTCGGGATTCCTGAAATGTCAGCCCAGCACAATGGGCCTGGTGAACAACTCAGGAAAAAAGCTCTCAACCATCAGCTATGTAAAGGCTATCAAAACCTGCCACACACAATCTCCTCCCTGATGGGAGACACCTGCTGAGAAAAGAGAAGGGGGTGTCCCAGGCTTTCACCCGGGCAGAAATAGTGCCACCTGACCTGCCCATTCTAATCACCTTAAAAGAAAGCAAGGTAAACTACAAGAAACTATGGAAACCATGGCTTTCTCCACAGATGGAAACGACCATGCCAGACACAGCTCCCACTTTGGATCTGTGCTCTTCCCCAGCACTAGTCTGTCTCTATTACTGGACAATTGTGATCAAATGCTGACCTTTCCCTAGATTCTCATCACCCAATTAAAACTGAAACTGGGTGTGATAGAAGTCAGTGACAGTGCAAAACTCCCAAGAGCTGAGTTCAGTGTGAATCACTCTCATGTTACCAGACACAGGTCATAACTAAAAATAAAGGGCCCTCCAGAAATCAACCAGGCTCATCCTCTCACAGAAATGACAAAACTGCAACTTGATAGCCTGGAAGTTTTATCTAGAACTGTGTTATCCAACCCAATAGCCAGTAGCTACAGAGATTTATTTAAATTTAGTTAAAATTGGGTGAGATTATGAGCTGGGCTCGGGATATAGTTCAGATGGAAGTACTTATGTAGCATACATGAAACCCTGGGTTTGATACTCAGCACCCATCACACCAGGCATGGTGGCACATGGTAGAGGCAGGATGATCACAAGTTCAAGGTCTTCCTTGGCTACATATTAAATTCAAACCTAGCTAAGGATTCAGTAGAGCCTATCTTTAAAAAAAAAAAAAAAGATAGAATAAGGAAATTAAAATTTAGTTCCTTGGTTAGTGAGTCCCTTTTCAGATGTGCATCAACCAACACCAATCATGTGACTAGTGGCTACTGTGTGGTTGGTGCAGGCTTGGAATATTTCCATAAAGAACGAGGGGCTGTGCAGGGTCACCCTCCCTACAGTAAGCCAAGCCTCCCAGTGTGCCCTCTCCTACAGTTCTCCTGTCAGGTGGTGACGCCTGACTCTGCAGAAACACCTAGGATGACCTGTCTTTATCCCTTCCTATAAACTTCTCTTAATTTTTCTCACTTAAAAAATAAGGCAAGTTCAATATTTTAATAAACACAATCTAACAGGCATTCATGTATAATATATAATTAAACATATATATATATATATATATATGTAAAAATCAGCACATCCCCACATTTTTTGGATTCATGCATCTTCCACGTGCACCTTTATTATCAGTGCATAAAGTTTTCTTGCCTACTCTGTGGGAGACAGACAACAATCTGTCTAAATTTAGATATTGTTTAAAATATAGACAAATATATATACATATATACATATATGTAAAATCATTACTCAAAAGTTCTTGAAAACAGAGAGCAATGACTTTCAGAGTTTAGAATCCAAACATCCACTCTTAAGTGCCCACTCATCACTTGGTACCAAGGACTAAAGTCAACTGAAATTTTGCCAAGGCTAGGTTTCTTCAGGTCTAGAGCAGGTGCTCGGCTGGCTGTCCCCCCACCTCAGGGCAGGTGGGAAAATTACATGCACTGATCATAAGGTGCATGCGGAAGATACATGGCTCCTAACATGTGGGGCTGTGGTAATAACAAATGTTTTATGGATGGTTGGTTCTGCACATTTTACTGTGAGCACCCCACTTTAATGTTCTAGCTTCAGTAACAGACATCGAGAATATGAATAAAAAGTGCCCAAATGGAGTCCACAAAACAGTGACCATCATAACCTTATTCGTGAAAGTTAGCAGCTGTAAGAAAACTGTCATGAAGGCCACCTTCCTTGCTGCACAATCAGGGAAACCGAGGCCTGTGATCGGCCTGAAGGTCCCTACTCTGGAAGCTCAGAGTGCAAGGCAGAGCAGGAACAAGAGTGAATCTTAAAGCACTGTGACAATATAGAATGTGAGAGGCGTGGACTGTGGACCTGAGAGCCCAGGGACCAGGCCCCGTGCAGCCCAGTGTGTAACAAAGACCCAGGGCTAGAGTCACCAGAGCCGGTAAATACCCACCTAGGCCTGATACAGCAGCTAACTCCTGTAGTCCTCTCCTCCAGCTCTTGGGGGGCAAAGGAGAGACAGGATCATGAGTTCAAGACTAACCTTGGCCAGAGCGGGACCCTCAAACATAGAAAGAAACTGAAAATAATTTAAAAATCGGCTGATGAGATGGATCGGTGGGTAGACACACCTGAGTTCCACCCCAGGCCCCACGGTGGAAGGAGAGAAACAGCCCCGAAGGCTGTCCTCTCACCATGTGTCATGGCTGCACGCGCACACGCACTGCCAAGCACACACAAATCTAACTACATCCGAGTGTCTCCATTGCTCTGCCTTAGAAAGACCAACCAAAAGAGTTCAGCCACCAATTCAAAGAGTCAATTAGTGCTTTTTATAACTGTTAAAGAACTGAAATTTCACGTTCCAGCCCCCTGAGGGACTGAGGGATCGAGAAAGGTTACAGGACTCACTCACTCACCAACTAAAAAGTTACTAAAAAATTAAAGCTTATTGCCAGTGGGAGCTCATTGTTGGAGGCAATAAAAGGTTTACAATAAATGAAAAAAGAAGCCCTGAAACTTTCAAAGGGAAACCCTACAGTTTACGTACACTTTCCTGAAGAACATAAGCCAGGGGTCGGCTCCGGATTCCTAGCTCAGCACTGCCCCCTCCTGGCCAGGGTGGAAATCAACCCCTGGTGAGCATCTAAGCTCACCAGGGCCTTTGCTGCCCTCCTATGACTGGAAAGGAACTAGCTTTCATTGCTCCACGGAAACACTCTCGGCGAAGGAAACGTGCATCCGCTAGATGGCAGCAGAGCTTAGCGGGTAACATCTAAGCTGGTCGGTAGCCAGGCTAAAGCAGCGGGTGATCCCATGACCATGGGCTGCTGGCTGTGCTAAATGGGCTCAGTGGGTTACAAAATAATTTAAAAAGAGAAGAAGAAGAAAGGGTACTAGTCAGGGATGGATACAATCAAAATACATTGTATAGAGGTGTGAAACTGTCAAAGAATTTTTTTTTTCTTTCTTAAAGCTCTCAGACCAGTAAGCTTGCTCAGGGAGCAAGGGCACTTCCCATGAATCCTGATACCAGAGAGTGATCCCTAGGACCCATATGGCAGAGAAAGAACAGCTGAAGGCAGTCCTGTTTGCCACATGTGTTCTTGGTGGCCACACACGCAACTACACACACACTCACTAAATAAAATCTAATGAAATTTAAACATTTTTTTTCTTTTAAGTTCTAGACAAGCCTGGAATTGGGAGACCTTGTCTCTTAATTAATTAAAAATAAAGATGGAGATGAGAAAAAGAATCCATTGTGAGGTAATTCTTTAGATTACTATAAGGTAATTCTTTCGATTACTATACTTCAATGAACTTAAAAAGGCAACAGAACTATGTATTTGTAAACAGTACTGACTATCAATCCAAATATTCTGCCTAGCCCCACAGCCCTCTAGCACTAGCTAGGACTAAATGCTTTTTTTTAAGATAGTAAGTGACTTTCCTCATAAAGAAAGCAGAACTAAGAAAATTCCCGCCCAGGCTTCTAGCAACGACCTCCACTCAGGAAGAGAAGCACACTTAAAATGAGCTGTTCCTCTGTGCCCACTTCCACTTTCTCCCGACCCGTCACACCACCAGGAATGTTAACTCCCTAAATGCAACCCAATGCTGCTGTCTCCTTTCTCATCCTTTCTTTTGAAAATCCTTCAACTGGACCAGCAGTGGTGGTACAAGCCTTTAATCCCAGCACGTGGGAGGCAGAGGCAGGTGGATCTCGGCACTATATGTTCAGATGCTGATTTCTGTGCTAACTTCTGGCTGCAGTCCAGACATGGGCACTGTCATTTCTATGAAGAATCACCAGTCTCAATGTTGTGTGAAAATTACTCCCTAATTACCCCTGATTGGTTAATAAAGAAGCTGATTCAGACAATAACTGGGCAGGCAGAGGAGACAGAGGCGGGACTTCTATTCCCAATCTGGGGGCCTCAGGTAGACAGAGAGGAGGGAGAAGTCACCAGAGGAGTTCATCATGAGGACAGAGAGTTGGAGCAGAAGGCCGAGACTTAGATAGCAGATAAAAGGGCACATGGTTGGTAGGTAGCCAGACTAGCATAATTAGGTTGGAACAGATGAACATCTGCCCAGTCACAGCACTTAAGGCTTGTTGAATAAATTAACAGATCTCTGTGTCATTACTTGGAAGCTAGGGCAGGTAGCAGAAAAGGCCTTTACTAATACCATAATTCAACTGGTCTCTATGAGTTCAAGGCGATCCAGGTCTACAAAGCTAGTTAAAGGATAGCCATGGCTACACGGAGAAACTCTGCCTAGGGAAAAAAAAGAAAAATTCTGAAACTAGAGCTGGAAAGATGGCTCAGAGTTATGAGTTAATACTGTTCTTTCAGAGGACCCAAGTTCGGTACCCAACACCACACTGGTCATATAACTGCTCACTATTGCCTCTAACTCTAGCTCCAGGAGACTGGAAGAATCTGCATACTCGTAGCCCATAATTCCCAGCTGGGCAGGTGGCCCAGAGCTGTTAATATGATCTGCACTGCACGCTTTCTGCTGAGCCTGCTTTTTTGTCTGTTTTGTCATAATTTTGAAATACTAAGTTCTTTAGAAGCTGAGTCCTCCTCCAATCATGACAGCCCTAGGAATAACTTTCCTTGATTTGGTACCTTTCTGAGGCTGGAGAACAACCTTAAAATGCATTCTGTCCCTTCTTAAATACACACCACAACTCATCTAGGAAACACCTTCACAAATCTAGAGTAAGGCAATCAGAAACAGCTCTTGCTACATCTCTACAGAACGCCTAAGAATTACACCTAGTATTGTAAACCCAAGGTGGCATACGTGCACCGGAGGATACACTCAGGGTATCCAAGAGAAACAGTGAACTGAGGAGTGGTCAGAGCTGCGAGCCGCTCGTCAGCTACTTCTCCAGGCATGCTCGCCCTCCTCCATCTCTCACAGCACTTCATTCTGAGCTCTGCTAACACTATCATGTCATATTTTAGCTGTACTTTATGGGTCTTTACCTGACTTAAGACAGGGTCTCCTGTAGTTCAAGCTGACCTCCAACTCGATACACAGCTGAGGATGAATCTCTAGTTCCACCTGCCTTCACCTCCTGAGTGCTGGGATGTCTGGTTCGTTCAGTGCTGGTACTGAACCCAGGGCACTGCACCAACTCAAATCCATCCCCAGCTTTGTTTCTTTGGTTTTTGTTGATACTTCTTGAGATTAGGTCTCAACTGTTCACTTCTAAAGGCATTTTACTTTCCTTGTATTCCCAGTAACAGGCACTGACTAGGGATGAGAGGGAGGGATGGAGATCAGGTCTCCAAGACCTGAGACTATATTAGGATGGTAGAATGTGGTGGTTCTCAAATGTTTTCAGCGAACGAAGCATCCAACAGCTTACCACTACCTAAAACCAAAGTTCTACCTGAACAAACAGAGCTGCTCTTAAGGTGGATTCATGTGCCATTTCAAGATGCAGTCACTGTCACATCAGTGCGTACACGCTGGCTCTTGTGTGATACTTCTGATACTTTTAGTAAAAAACATACAGGTTGCCATGCAGTAATGTAAAGAGATTGGTCCTGGGACATTATCTTCAAAATATGATTGTATTTAATAGTCTCTTCTCTTGCCACCTGGACACAACAGTACTACATTTTATAATGCTCAGGAAAGGAAAGAGCCCAGACATTCCTCGGGGAGCGGCACAAGCACAGAGCAAAGCACAGGCAGAGGCCCTCTGCAACCACAAACTGTGCACCTACAGAAGCCACTGACGCTTCTGGGCCCATTTTCTCGTACAAAAGGAACAATATTGATATTTGGAAAATTATTTGGAAAAAAATTTATGTACTTATCACAGCTTTAAGACTCACTCAGCTTCAGGGGTGTGGAGGTTTGAATGAGAATGTCTGAATGCTTCTACACAGTAGGAGGTGGGTTCTTGGTGGAGGAGGTGCGTCACTGTGAGTGGCCTTTGAGGTTCAAACGCCTGTGCTATTCGCAGTTAGCTCACTGCTTCATGCTTGTGGCTCAAGATGTAAGCTCTCAGCTCCATGCTGAGACCTAAACCATGCCTGACTGCTGCCATGCTCCCCACCAGGACAGTCATAGACTCCAAGACTCTGCAACCATGAATACTAAGCTAAACATGTTCTTCTGTAAGTTGCTTTTGTCATGGTGTCTTATCACAGCATTAGGAAGGTAACTAAGACAAGTGGGGAGAGTGGAGAGGAGGGCATACAACCTGTGAAGGGAGGGGAGAGACGGCTTTCAGCTCTGCAAATGGAATCTAGGCCTGCTTCTGTTTCCCTATCAGAACTGTGTAAAGTTTGTTTGAGGTCGGGGAAAGATTTAGTGCCTAACTAACAAGAGATATGGCAAATGAACCAAAAGCTGTCAGTCTGGTTCCAAATCCTCTCTCCAGTTGATCCAACCTTACCATTTAAGTTTGGGACACATATTCACAAGTACCAACTGTCAGTTGTTCACACTACTCGGAATACCTATCAAGCAACCATGGCCAATATTTAACATTAATGGCAAAATTGGAAAAAAATTTTCAAGAACAAATCTAAAAGCAAAGCCTGCAATTTATCTTTCTTCAAAAATCTTTGGGTATACACCTATTAACAACAGGCTGATGAGCACACTGCTACTAATACGCTTGGAACCTCCAGGAAGTTCTGCAAACGTCTTACGGTGCTACAGAAACTCAGCCAACTAGGAACAGAACCAACCCCATCCAATTTCACCTGCTAAAATCAGCACAACAGGACAAGGGCTGTGGTCACCACTTACATTCTGCCAGACTCCAACTCCTCAACTTAGGAAACGGGAGCAGGTCAGCCGACGAAGTTCATGACGACAAGGTGCAGAATGGTGCTGGCAAACAGAAAGTCAGCGAAGGCTCGCTCTGGAGAAATGCCTTGGAAATCCGCCTTGTTCTGGGGGTTGATCTGTATTCTCAAACAAACTGGTTAAGAAACGAAACACAAAAGTCATTATCCCAAAGTCTAAAACAAGTGATTGTTACGCAGTACACAAGTACATCCCGTGATGAAAACTCTCCTCTAACAAAAATAAGGCACACAAACACCCAAAAGGCATGCACAGGATCGGCGCCTATGGTGTGCACAAAGCTAGAAACATCTGACGTCTATTAACAGCACAGAGGGTAAATTGTAGCACACATAAACAAAGAAATACTACATGGCAATGAAAAGGAACTTCTGTTAGACAAAACTTGAATGGATTCCTCGCTATGTTATGCAGCATAATCCAAACATAGAGTGCACACTAGATGAGTCTACACATATGGAACCCTAAAGCTAGACAAAACAGAAAGACATGGTGGCTCACACCTGCGATCCCAAAATGTGGGAGGCTAAGGAGGACTGCCACAAGTTTGAGACCACTCTAGACAGAATTAAGACACCATATCTCAAGAAAGCAAAACAACAAAAATAATAAACAAACAAACCAAATGGGCAAAATAAATCTAGAGTGACCTAAGTCAAGATAGTGCTTTTAATCTTTCATGGACAAAGAAGAGGCTTAGAAAATTCAAGATAATGTTCTCTGTCTTGAGCTGGATCGTAGTTAGAACAGAGAATTTAAAAACTCATCTCAAGCTACATAGGTGCCCTTGTAACACAGCACCTTTGAGACAGACGTAAGAGGGGATTCAAGGTCATCCTCAACTCCATGGCAAGTTCAAGACAAACCTGAGCTTCATAAGACACTGGCTCAAGAAACTAAAACTAAAAACAGGGTTGTGAGATAGCTTACTGGTGAGGGCATTTGCCAACAAGCCTGATAGTACACATACAATAAATAAAAACTGCAAAAACTAAAGAGAAAATATAAAACTCATAAAATTATACAGCCTTACAATCTTAACTATCTTTTGGTAAAGGAAAAATAAAGGAGAGAAAAGACGCCTCAGAATTAGGATAAAAAAACCTGTAAGCTTATTCACGGGTCTATCTCCCAAGAGCCTAAGAACTGTCTTAATCTAGCTGATCTGAAGTGTCTAATATACCTACCTGAGGCTGTAGATACAGCAGTAACAGAAGGTGGGTTGAATGACAAGCCTATGAAACCCTCACCATTTTCTACAAGAAGCGTACATAACACACAGCAGAGATTATAAATGCAGCTGCAGAGAAACCATCTCTGTAAAGTTCCAGCAGCGGCTCACTCAGCTCAGAAGATGGCAGAAGAGCCAGCACACGAGACTCTTAACTCTCCCACATTTCTGTATCCCCGAAGTCTCTAACAAGGCAGCAGCCAGTCACCCAGGTGGGAGAAGCAGCTAAGGGGTGGTCTCTGCTCAAACACCTTTTATGGCTGCGATAAATTATCACATCTGCTTCAGGCTAGCATTAACAAAGAAGAATCTGCTCAAAAGAGAGAATGATCACACTAGTCCTCCAAATTCACCACCACAGCAACAGTGCCCATTCCCCCAAGCACAGAGATCCTACCCAACTGTGGAAGGACACAGATTGGAGTAAGGAAACCAACTAAAACCTTGCTGTGAAAGGCCAGGTTAGTCCTCCTTTGGGGGAAAGCAACTGGCAACACCATTTAATATTTTAAATGTTTTTACCTTTTGACCTACAAAACGCAGTATAGTATGTTTGTAAAATTGAAAGAAAAAAAAAAAGGAAATGGTCCAAATGTCATCAAGGGAAATAAATTATACTACAGACTTGCAATGAAATCCTATGCAATTATTCAGAATAAAGTAAATTCTCTATACACTGAAAATAAAGCTATCCACTTTCACTGAGTGAAAAAAATAGTCAAAAGCACTGGCTCATATCAGGTCTCTTTTCATATGTGTCTATGGTGTTGTGTGTATGTATTGTATATATGTGTTCATGTGTGTTGTGCATAAAGGTAGGTACACACACATATGAATGGGAGGGCCCAGATGTTGAATTCAAGAGTCTTCTTCATTCACACCCCAAATAATATTTTTCAGAGATTTAATGTTGTGTGTGGGTGTCTATGTGCTGTGTGTATATGAGCTGTGTATACAGATTCTCCTGGAAGCCAAAAGAGAGCACTGGATTCCCTGGAGCGGTATTTATAGGCAGCTGTGAGCTGCTGGATGTAACCAAGCTAGATCTTCTGGAAGAGCAGGAAGTGATCTGAAGCACTGAGCCATCTCTCCGGCCTGCCCACTTTACTTTTTGAGGCAGGAGTTCTCAGGGAACTTAAAGGTTATGGATTCTGCTAGGTTAGCTGGCCAATGGAGCTTCAAGGTTCTACCCGTTTTTCCCCTCCTCCACCTTGGGTTTCGGGCATGTGTAGCCTACCCAACCTTTCCTATGAGTACTGGAGACTGTAACCATCCTCATGCTCTTGCAGCAACTGCTTTGCCTTAGGCCCCATACTGTTGTTTCTAAAACTTTAACATTACATATAATTATTACATTCAGTTACAATCTAACAAAAACTCTATAGAATAACAGATACAGAACTATTAACAGCAATGGGATAGAAAATAAGGTGGTATTTGGAGTAACTATAAGGGAATAAGAGAAAAGCTCTGTGAAGGTTAATACAGCCATGGACTGATGCTAACCTTAAAATGACTGCCACAACTCAAATTCAGTTACCATGCACAAATCAAGCCTACAAGCATCCAACAGCATCAAAGATCATGGAGGCTAACACCCCGTTGTTTGTTTGTTTTAAACATGCTTATTCTACTTGTATGACAGTTTTGCCTACATTTATATACATGAATCACATGAATCCCTGGTCCCCAAGGAGGTCAGCAGACAGCACTGGATCCCTGGAAGTGAAGTCACATGAATGGGCGCTGGAAATGGAACCCGGGTCCTCTGGAAGAGCAGCCAGTGCTTCCTAACTACTGAGCCATCTCTCCAGCCCTTCCAACACCCCAATTGATGCAAAAAATGCCTATGTTAACAGGATTTTTTCTTCCCAACTTGACACAAACTAGAGTCAGCCGAGAGAAGAGAACCTCAACAGAACTGCCTCCATCACACTAGCTTATGGGCATGTCTTTGGGGCATTTTCCTTCCTTTTTAAATTTTTTATTTTATTTATCAGATGTTTTGTCTGCATGCACATCTGTGTACCACTTGTGTGCCTGGTACCCTAGGGGGCCAGAAGAGCATGTTAGACTCCTAAAGGTAGAGGTACAGACAGCTGTGAATAGCCATGTGGGTAGTAGGGGTAGAAAAGCAAATGGGTCCTCTTGAAAAGCAATCAGTGTTCATAACTGCTGAGCCACTTATCCTGCATTTTGTTTTTATTGTCCTTGTGTTTTGTTTTTCGAGACAGGGTTTCTCTGTGTAGCCTTGGCTGTCCTGGACTCACTATGTAGACCAGGCTGGCCTCAAACTCACATTGATCTGCCTGCCTCTGCCTCCCTGAGGGTGGGGATTAAAGGCTGTGCCACCACACCCAGCTGTATTTTCTTAATTAATAACTGATATGGAAGGATCCAGACCACTGCTGGCAGTGCTACCCCCAAGCAGGTGGTCCCGGATTGTGTAAGAAAACAAGCTGAGCAAGGCGTGGAGGGCAATCGGTGAGCAGCGTTCCTCCATGGCCTTTCTTACCTCTATGTCCATGCTTTGACTTCCATACCAGGTAAGCCAAATAAGCCCTTTCCTCCCCAAGCTGCTGTTAGTCATAGTGTTCATCACAGCAACAGAAAGCAAAGTGGAACAATGGCCAAGAAGTGGTGGGAGACAGGTGTGCTGGAAGGAGCTTCCAAGGCCAGCCTGGGGAATTTTCTGACAGGGAGTTACCATGTCCCGGCTCTGATAAGCTGCCCCATGAAAATTACAGCCCTACAGAACCTGCCTTGCTCATGAGCAGGTCACATCCCTCAGCTGTGTAAAGAAACATGCTTGCTCCAGAAATGAGGCTGCAGCGTCTCCCTGAGCACTTCCAAAGATGGAAACAGACTCCCTCCTGAGGCAGCCTGCCCCTTGCAGCAGGTCTAGCTCATCTGTCTCCTTAAATGCCCATTTGTTCAGCAGAATATTTCAACACTGGGAATATGGCATACAGCCAGAGACAGGAGTCTGGCTCCCAAGGAGCTTCCAGGCTGTGGAGATAAACACACGTTTCCAGCCAGGAGCCAGCAAACAAGGAAATTCTGGGCGGGTACACACTGTGAAGAAAATGGAGCAGGATTAAGGAGATTAGAAAGCTATCTTTTTTTATAATTTATTTACTTTTATTTTATATGCATTAGTGTAAAGATGTCAGATCTCTGAAGTTACAGACAGTTGTGAGTTGCCATATGGGTCCTGAGAATTGAACCTGCCTCCCTTGGAAGAGCAGACAGTGCTCTTAACCACTGAGCCATCTCTCCAGCCCCATAGAAAGCTATCTTATCCAGTACTCAAATCTTTTTTTAAAAACTACTAAAGCATAATGATCTGAGGCAGAGCAATCCAGAATGTAAAATTGTCTTGACACATCTTGGGCATATAAGCCAGAGACACCAGATATCAGTGACCAGAGGAAATTCAGGAGTCTGGACTTAAAGGGCAATGAAGCAGCATTTCAGGGTTCAAGAAGCTGAGTGACATAAATGACTCACATTCTTTAAAGGCTAGAACTGCAACGTGGAGAATGGTTTGTAGGACTGTACTGGAAGTTTTGATTTCTTTGAAGACTCAGTTACATTATGCAAGTATGTTTTTGTTTTAATCCCATGTGTGGGATTTTAGTTGGGCTATAGTTTGTCCACAGCTGTTAACTGTATTGTGCGGGGCATGGCCTTTGCCAACTGGTAATGGCCATGTCTAGGACTACAGAGAATATAAATTTGAGAGCCCAGAGAGAGTGGTGTGGCAATGCGGTGTTGGCATGTAGCATGTAGCAGTTTGGAGAGACCAGAGACAGAAGGTGTGGTCGTTTGGAGAGAGATTCTTCGGAGCACAGTGGCTTGGAGGAGACAGCTGGCTATATTTG